AACCCAGGGATCAAATTCGGGACCCCTGTATTGCAGGCAGATTTTTTACCAACTGAGCTATGAGAGAATGGGAAGTCCTTAAGAAAATTAAATACTGCAAAAAAAGTTTATAATAAAAAGCTGCCTGCCCATCTTCTCTTCAAACCCCAGACAACCAATTTTCATTCTTAGCTACTTAGTCAGCTGTCTCAATATCTAATACATGTATACTACGCTTGCCTGAGATGTTACTACCTTATCACAACATTAACAGGTAACATGCATTGTGTTATTAAGTGCCAGACACAGAACTTCATATACGTTTTCTCATTTAATCTTCACAGCAGCTCCATGATGTAGGGGCTATTATATTCCCATTTTAGTCTGGGAAACTGGAACACAGTACTCTGGAACTTGCCCAGAGTCACATGGGTAGTAAGTGGAAAACTAGGATTTGAACTGAAGCACTTGCAACCCATACACTCCTATATTTACCTAATGAACAGCCCACTTTTAATAAAAATTTTTGGGATAAGTCTCACAAATTAAATAAAAACAGTGATCAAAACAGTAAAATGGCACTTCTCACAATCAAATGTAATTTTTTTGTTCCGCAGATCAGTAATTTTCAACTTTGGCTTTGCCACAGTTCATGAGGTGACCAATTAGTTGCATTTTCATTTTATATATATTGACTCAGTGGTTACTATGCTTAAGGCATAGTATTTTAAAATATAAATTACAAGTATATGGCCTATAACTGAATTTTTGGTGAATAAAAAAAGGGATCAGATTCTAAAGACTGACAGAAAGACCTGTTTTGAAGGGAAAGAGTGTGCCAGTAACCTATTAGAAAAAGAAAAGCAATTTTCAGTACTTCAGTTTAATACTCTAAACAAAGAAAAAATGAGATATGCATAAACACAAGTGTAATGTGAAGCAAAAAAAGTTAGCATTAAAAAAAAAATGAGACACTAGAAAAAAGGCAATAGAAGGTTTGAAATTGAGGGGGGGAGGAAAGGAAGCAATCAAGAGATGAAAGTTCTACATAATCTAGGCAATCCAGTTCAAAGCTCTAAGTCAGCTCTTGCTGAAACAGAGAGCCCTTATAATAATGCTCTGACTGCAGGAGATATCATGGCCTCATTATACGAAAGAGCAGAGATGGCTTACTGAGGATGTACTGGCAGGTGAAATGGAAGGCTGGTGACAGACAGCAAGTCAGCTGGATCTGGAGACCAACATATGGTATCCATCTCTCCGCTCTAGATGACGGGAATCCAAACTTACTAACTGGCTACACTTCTCCTTTCAGCACTTAGTTGGTTTCAGCGATCTTCCCAACTAGGTCATTAACCTCTGGAAAGCTGAAGCTATTTATTTCACTTTCATCCATAAAACCTAGCAAATGCTATGCATCTAGCAGAGAGATGATCAAGCCTATCAACCTTGAAAAATCACAACTTACATCAGAACACTGAAGTTTGACGAAATCTGAAGACAGCACCTAGTCTAGCCTCTTTATCTTAAAAAGAAACAAAGTATAGTTTAAATGTCCACTAGCCTAAAGTAGGAGAGCTGGGATTAGCACCCTAATCCCCTGATAATCAGTTTATCTTTTTCCAAATAGCCTCTAATTTTTTCCATTAAAATAAAAGTCTATCTCATCAGAAAACAAAAGTCAACAGCATCAGTACTCACTTTACATCAGGGCCCAGCGCCCTTTAGATTTGGTTGGCAATCTATGTGCCTAGATCTGCCATGACTGCTTTATAAATGTTATTCTACTTAATACTCACAAGGACTCTAAGATGTAGGTACTATTAACCTAATTTCACAAAACCATAAAATGTAATTTGACCATGATGATAGTACGAGGCAGAATCTAGATTTTCCATTTGTCACTAGTCTTGGCTCTTAACCAGTATCCTGTACTGTTTCACATTGACTTTATCACAAATATCCTGAAGTCTCAAGATAAACAAATAATGAAATGACTTACTAAATGAATGGATTATTTAATTAACTGAAAAGTAAGGTTCTCTCACAGCAAATACTTCCAAAACGGAGGGTTCATTGTTCACCTAGTTACATAATCCCCTAAGAAAGGTTTTAACAGTGAGCATCTGCATACTAACAGATTTAAGGAATAGATAATGTCTTTACCTCACAAATGATCTATTCAACAAATAGTGAGAAACAATTTTTGTGACACAGGGCTAAATTTGAACATAAAAAGTAAAATAAACTTGTTCCTGCAAGATCCTATTCCATTAAATTAAAATCCAAACAAGTTTCTAAACCATTATCAAAATCAAAATAAATGTATAACACCACTCTCCTTCTGGTTGGAGAAAGGAGAAACATTAGCTGAGCACCTACAATGTGCCAGTTCTTAAAGCTCAACAAAGCTCAACAAAACCTGATCCCTTAAGGCCAAGTGAACTAGGCAGCATTTCCATTTTCTGATGAACAAACTGAGGTTTTAAGAGGTTAAGAACCTGTCTCAGGTCACTTGGCTAATTACTACAAATCCAGAATTGGAACCCAAGTTTGTCTAGCCAAAAGTCTATGTTAACCAAGTTAAAGGTACTATTATCTTATTTGCTCACCAAAGCAAATAAAAGTTTGCTCAGTTTCTTTCCAAAGAAGAATGAAGACACTGCTTACTTTAACAACAAAAAAGGATACATTATCTCGCTTATTCCTTATTATAGCTTATTAAAATTATTACTTCATCCCATTATTAAAAATCATGAAGCTAAAACTCAGAGAAGTAGCTTGCCCAAGAACACACACAGAAGTACCCCAGGTCTATTGTTTAGTCCCTAAGTCATGTCCAACTCTTTATAACCCCATGAACTGCAGCATGCCAAGCTTCCCTGTCCTTCACCATCTCCCAGAGTTTGCTCAGACTCATGTCCATTGAGCGGGTGATGCCATTCAACCACCTCTGTCGCCCCCTTCTTCTTTTACCTTCAATCTTGCCCAGCATCAGGGTCTTTACCAATGTGTCGGCTCTTCGCATACCAGGTGTGAATGCAAAACTAACCACAGGAAAAATGCAGAAAGACCATAGCTCTGGTATTAACAGTTATAGGCTTAAGACTCAAAATATCTAAACTAAGCGAACCCCATGTTTGTCAAGTAAAAAGGAATGGTAGCTATCCTGCATTTCAACTTTCACTTTCACTGATGAGGAAGTTGATTTTCTAGTTAAGAGTCTATTAAATGGCAACGTGAAGCCTGGTCTCTGAATTTCAAGCCTACAGGCCATTCCATCACACCAAGCAATCTCTGGATTTGTCGCCTGTTGAAATTATTCCTTAAGTACCAAACAATGAACTACTTCACAAAGCAAAAGTTTGAGAGAAGAGTTATGCTAAAATACACAGAATCAATATTTATGTATTTAAAAATACTTTCAGAGGAATAGGTGATTAGAAATATTTCTTAGCAACATTTTCAGTGCATCTTCTGAAAACTTCGTCTATTTCTTGATATAATTTTAGGGCCTAAAGCCTGAACTAGAAGAGAGATGTCTCCAATGCCAATTCTGAGAATTTTTTTTACCATTTGGTCAGAAAAGAACGTTTAGTTTTATTGTACAGCTCTGTTAGAAATCCAGAGTAGCCTTTTCACTGAGAGTGGCCCAGGTATACAACTAAGGAACTGTCCCACTGTTTTTGATAAGTCAAAGTGACAACTGAGAAGGTAACGAGTATTAGTATATAACATGGGTAAGTGTATTTATTTATATTTTACTAAGTAATATAAGCATGCTATGGGCTTCCCTCCTGGCTCAGTGGTAAAGAATCCACCTGCCAATGCAGGAGAGGTGGGTCCGATCTCTGGGTGGGGAAGATCCCCTGGAGAAGGGAATGGCAACCCACTCCAGTATTCTTGCCTGGAGAATCCCACGGTCAGAGAAGCGGTCTACAGTACAAGGGGTTGCAAAAAAGTTTGTACCGGACTTAACCACTAAACAACAAACAATAAACAGGGTATAATGTCAAGTGCAGAAATAAACAGAATCATTCTAATGCATGATGACCAGTTAAGAGACTTCCATGTTTGTTCATTCTACTACAACACAGAGACTGTCTTCATCCCTTAAGCTCATAAAAACTATACGAGTTTTTCAGGAAGCTTTGCTTCTGCCCTCCGCACATCACTGTGGGTCATTTAAAACCGAATGCATCAAGAATCGCGCCCAGGCCTGAATGAGCACCACCTCAGCTATCAACTAAGAAGTAAACACGAACAGAATGCTACTGATCCTGGAGCGGAGCACTGTTTACTTACAGGGAAGACACTTATGTGATGGGAAAACGTGTTGCACTATCCTCTTCTGGCTCCTGCCCCCCGAAAAAACAAGATACTTTGACAAGCTACTGTGAGCGTGGGTTTATTCCCTAAAGTTTCGACCTCTCTTTTTAATCGCTTAAGGATAAACGCTAAAATACATCCGACACAAGGTGCCCGAGGTGCTGCCCATGGCATAACAGGAAGGACATCACTTTGGCCAAGAAACTGTGTTCGTACCCTACACACCTGAAGAGAGCCAAACGCGAAGAACAGACACGACGTTCACTCTGGTGAAGGGAAACAAGAAATCAAAAGCAGACGCGCTTCCTTCTCCCCCCCCCCTCCCCACCCCCGCGGGGAGGCTTGAGCAGAACTAGGAGCTCAAGGTGCTCTTCCAAACCAGTACCAGGCCCCCGTGTCCACCGGACCGGCGAGCAGCGCAGCGACAGAGGAGACCCGTCAACACCTCCACCTCTGTCCTCCAGGCACAGCCAGGGCCGGCGTCCCAGAGCCCGCCCCGGCCGGGCCCGCCCCGCTATCTCCTCCCCCGTTATCCGCTCACAGCCCGCTCGGGCCTGGATCTGCCTGCCCGCCCTCCCCAGCTCCGGCACGCTCCACTGCCCCACACACGCAGGCCACCGTCCAGCCGCGCGTCCGGGGGCGAAGGGCCGGGGGGACCGGGGGCGAGGACTGCGCTCGGTGCCGTCCCTCACCTCTGGATGGAGAAGGGGCACGCAGCCCGCTTCGCTCTCGTACTCATCCGGGCCGTCCGCCATCTTGGTGTTAAATCCCTCCTCCCGCTGCATGCCGGGAGAAAGCGTTTCACCCTCGCGGGGCTCGGGCGAGGCGGAGGGCGAGCGCGAGGGCGAGCGCGAGCCCCGCCGGAGGCGACGCGGTCGCCGCCGCCTCCTCCCCTTCCCCCCGGGCCACCCCCTCTGCCCCCTCCCCCTCGGAGCGCGCGGGTTTCTGCGCGCGTGCGCGCGTGTCGGTCGTCCCGCGCGGGAGCGCGCTCTGCTGCACTGCGCCTGGGCCGGCGGGCCTGAGGCTCTGGGCGTGGGCGCTGCCGCACGGGGGCGGGCCCTGGCCTCCGGCAGCCGTGGGCCACTGGCTGCCGGGGGGCTTCGGCCGCCCCACGAGCGGGTAACCCGGTCCTTCACGTGGGAAAAAACCTTGCGGCGGCGCAGCCACAAGGGCAGGGCTCCGGAGCCGCGCAGCCGGGACTCGGGGCCCCTGACAGTCGTAATAGCCCACGCCCGCAAATCCCACTGTCCCGATCCGAGACCCCCGGGACCCGTCCCCAGCGACCTGGGGTGCAGCCATCACCCCGCTCCAGGTACTAGCTTTGGGACGCTCAGGCTTGAATCCAGATGTGCATCGCTCCTGGAGAAAGACGCACCCCTTCCTCCGCCCTCACAAAGATCGCCCCGCAGTTTATGCCTCCGGGGGGACACCCCGGAAAACACGGGTAAAGCTTGGGATTTCTTCCTGAAGAAGCCTTTTTAAAATGATCCCAAACTGCCCTCACTGGTCTTGAATTAAGAATAACCACATTTAAAATGAACGCCCTCAAAACCCGCACGCCCCCATCTGCTACATTTTAATGTAATCCAGGAATTCAGAACTGAAAATTGAAACTGAATTCGCCTAAATGCGAACCAGAGAAAATGACTAAAGACATTTTTTAACGGATATTAGGGCTCCATGGGAGGTAGCGGGGATTGGGTTTTAGAAATGTGCGGATGGCACTGTTACAGAAAGTCTTATTTATTAGCTATTAAAAATAGAAAATCTAAACTGCTCAGAGAACTGTTTAGCAAGAAGCATTATTTCTTAGCCACCCTGATACTAACCTGTCTCGTGTTAAAGCCAAATCAGGAAGAAGCCTGCAATCCGACAGTATCAGATTTATTTGTAATCAGGAGGGAGGGCACTCCAGAGGAAGCTTGGATACCGCTCAGAAAGGTAGGAGAAAGCATCTTCTGTAAGGTTTAGGTTCCCGCCAGAGGAGGTCTGTAGGGTCTGGGTGAGCGGGGATCGGTTCTGGATTGGACGTTGTTTCTGAGGCGGGATTTGGAAAAGAGGGGTAACCGGGGATTGGATGCTGTCAGTGGGAGAGGGCGACTCAGTAATTGGGTAGTCTAGTAATAAAAGCAAAGTGTGTCTGGGCATCATTGGCAAGAGAAAAGTATCGCTCAGAGCGGAGTGAATATGGCATCTTACAGACGCTGCATGGCTGGGGGCGGGGGGGGGGGGCGGTGGGATAGCGTCTCTGTTAACTTTGTGGCTGGTTTTATCAGTGTCTCTTCTTCCAGCACAGTTGCTTTTTCTCATTTTGGTCTGAGCTTATTTTCATTCTTTTGGTCCTGGCCCAAACCAAGAATTTTGGTTCTGACTCCTACACCCGTTATGCAGAATTAAACAATTAGGGTTCTGCTTTTGGTGCTCCAAACTGCTTTCAGACACATTTTAACATGGACAGAAATAATTTTCGCTACAATTCAGTTTTCATCTTGTCCCATTGGTGTAGATAAGATCGAATTAGAGAACTAAAGGGAGTATGTGGAATTTGACATGTGTTTAACTTGGGGATGAGGTGCGGTTAATGACCAGAGTCCTTGGACCCTTTAATCAATAGAAATTGATAAGAGGCCAGGCTTCAGGCAAAGCTTTATTGGGATCCACAGCAGAAGGAAGTGAACTCAAGTAACAAGTGCCCTTGCTTGCTCTCCCAGGTCAGGCTGGTTCCTTAAATGGAGTAAGTGTTGGGCTGATTGGTGGGATGGGCTGGGGGGCAGGGGATTTAGGTGGTCTGTTCACCCCCTTGGTGGTACTGTGTGTAGGGATTATACGAAAAACTCTGCTCCCCACACCATCAAAATGGCAGTTGGTTTGCGGCCTGTTTGTGTCTTATTTTTGACAATTGCCCTAGCTGCACGCGTAATTTTAGTCCCTTAGTTTCGCTGTATTCCGCTGCTCCAGGAAACTTGTCTGGGTACACATGCAAGCATCTGATAGAGCCCCGGGTCCCAGTTAGCTCGGTGCTAATGGTGCTCTGGTTCGCTATGCTGGACCCCTGCCCAGTTTCCTGTTCAGGAGGAAATTAAAACAGCGAACTTATAAGAGGGCCTCCCTGGTGTCTCAGACGGTAAAGAATCTGCCTGCCACACAGGAGATGTGAGTTCGATCCCTGGATCTGGGAGATCCCCTGGAGAAGGAAATGACTACCCGCTCCAGTATTCTTGCCTGGGGAATTCCACGGACAGAGGAGCCTGGTGGGCTGCAGTCCATGTGGTCCCAAAGAGTCGGACACAACTGAGCAACTAACACACAGACACAAGGATTTTCATTAGGACAGTCTGGACGTGCGGCAACTTACAGGCCTAGACTGTGATCGGCTGCTTTCCTAATGCTCCCTGGAGGTGCTGTCCCTAACCTCTTCCCCGAGCCCCTGGCCCATCACTGCAGGGACAGATCCTGATTAGTCTATGTCCCCTAAGGTATCAGATCAGGCTTCCAGGGTGGCTCAGCGGTAAAGAATCCGCCTGCAATGCAGGAGCCACAGGAGATGCGGGTTCGATCCCTGGGTAGCAAAGATCCCCTGGAGGAGGGCATGGCAATCCTCTCCAATATTCTTGCCTGGAGAATTCCATGTAGAGAAACCTGGTGGGCTACAGTCCATGGGGTCACCAAAGAGTCAGACATGACTGAAGAAACTTAACACACATGCAAAGTATTAGATCAGCAACCAGGGGCTCCTCTCTCATTGACTTATTTATACCTAAGAATCAAATTGAGAGTTGGAAATTGAACTAAAGTTGGCTCAGCTGATTTATATTATTTAGGAAACATTCTTCTATCCAGATTTCCCAGGCCAGTCAGACCACCTGGGTTTGAATCCTGTTTCTGTCGTCTTTACTTTCTTCCCTGCATATCTGAGTCCAGTTTCATTTCTACTCTTAGTTTCTGCGTGAGGACAGAGTACTTCTTCTTCTGTTTACTTTTCCTTTCCTTGAGGAAATGGTGGTGGAGACAAAAGCCCAGCTGAGGCAAGATACAGCCTGCGTGAGAAAACCTGGGTTATGTTATCTTTGCTGAAAGTTTATTCTAGCTCATATCTCTTATCTCTTTCCCACAAGGAAATGCCCTGAGACTTCAGATTGTCTCCCCATCTCAGCGAAAGCCCTGGAACTTTCACTTTCATTGTAAACCTCAGCTCCATGGTTCACGTTCTCTACCTCACCAGACTTTCTTGCAGCTATTTGTAGTAATAATGTACAGTCCCAAAATGAAACACGAAACCAAACTAAGTTGGTTTCTCTGCCAATTAGTGTGAATCTGAGATATTTGCTATCTTTATCAGTATAGCTTGGGTTAGGTAGGTGGATGAAAGGGCACAATTAAGAAGTAAACTCATTCATTCTTCTCTGCTTTGTTTCAGAATATTATGTTCCTTTGTGTCCCTGTCTATTTTTTATTTCTCTTTTTTTTAACTTAGGATATAACACTTTCATTTTTTGATTGCTAAATTGGTGAATTTTCTAGATTTTTTTTTTTAAATCAGGTATTAAGGGAGAAAATCTGTAGTGCAGTTTTAACTGGCCATCTGGACATTTCAAAAATCCCACACAGCTGAAAGTTTTCCTCCATCCTCACTCAGCTTTTGATCTGCTAATATAATCAGGTACTCTAGAGTAGGGGTCCCCAATCTCTAATCTAATGCCTGATGATCTGAGGTGGAGCTGATGGAATAATAGTAGAAGTAAAGTGCACAATAAATGTCATGTGCTTGAATCATCCCCCCTTACCCCGGTCGGTGGAAAAAATTGTCTTCCATGAAACTGGACCCTGGTGCCAAAAAGATTGGGAACCACTGTTCTGGAGACTGTTCTCAGATTTCTGAACCTGAGAGTTCCCTGACACCTCCGCCCCTCATTGCTAAGTCTGGGCTCTTTCTACAATTGGTTACCTTATTCATTGCAAGACTTTTTTCCTAACTGCATCCCCTGAGATTGATCTCAAATTCAACTTTTGGGATACTTGCCGTTAGATTCGTCCATTATGAGAAGACAGTGGGAGATACAGATTTCTAAACATACATACACATAATTTTGCATAAATATTAGAGAGTTCAGGACTTTCTCAGTCAATGGATCCCAGGTTGGAAAAAAAAAAAAAAGAAAAATCCTGATTGTGTTAAATGATGACTCTAGTTCTTGACTAATAACTTTAACCTTTAAAGGACTTTGAGAAGTCATCTAGTTTATCCTAGGTTAAAATAAAATTAAAATAATTCTCAGTAAGTATATGGGCTTCCTTGGCAGCTCAGCAGTAGAGAATCTGCCTGCCAATGCAGGAGACACAGGTTCCATTCCTGGGCTGGGAAGGTCCCCGACAGTAGGAAATGTTAACCAGCTGTTGACTTTTTTTGTGATTATACATACAGGTCAAGTAACACTCTAGTGGATGCTCGTTTAACTTGATTTGAGACTCACTGTGGTCTGTTAGTCATCATTACGGAGCTCTGTGGGTGAAGATATTCCGGTTGTCATTCTGGCCTTGCAGCCCATTATCCCAATCATGTCCACTTTCCTTCTGTCGGTTCGGTGCTGCCATCTGGCCCCCACTGTTTTGGGTTCCTATCAGTCCAGATAAGGTTAAGGAGCCCAGTCCCATAACAGCATCTCTTCACTGTGACCCATGATGGATAACTGCCACCGAGCTTCTTGGAGATGTCAGTGGTACCCTCACCACTGACCTTCTTACTGCCTTGGAGATGGATGCATCCACTGGGCTCTTACAAAGAACA